CTCCAGCTCCTACGACCAAATACAAACAGTGGGGAAGAGGGTTAGCTCAACCCACCACAACTTCCAAGCTAGCAAGAAGTATATATTCATGCTAGCATTTATGGCACCTAAAACACGTTTATGATACACACATACAACACACTTATAACATCTAACAAAAACAGGCTTAATAATGACAATAATTGAACTAAAATCGCAATCAGAAACATCCAGGTGGCTAAATATGAATTATATGTGTGTTTTACAGTGTTGGGAAAGAAATGACACCAACCTCTCCCACAGGGGAATTGTAGAAAAGGGGAGAGGCAAAAGGGGTACACTGTATTTATAGGGTTGCACCAAAGAAGAAGAAGAAAAGAATGAGGAGGGGCTCTAACTGCTAATGAACATAACTACAGGGTTGGAGGTCCTAAAAGTCAGGTATAAAAGGAATAGTTTGGAGGTTTAGAACACATTTTGTGTAATTATAACAATGTGATTTATGACCCTGTTACATATGCTCAAATGTTATATCAGTGGAGAACAGGCAGCAGAAAGAATCAAGTCTGTGACTGAGTAGCTGTGCAGGGATAAAGCTGCTGAACGCTGCCTAAAACACAACAGAACTCCAAGAACTGTTGGCCCAAGGATCGGCCCTGGTAACAGGTACTTATTTAGACACTGGCCTTGAAATGTGAAAGAGCAATCAAAGACTATGCGATTTTTATTGTTGTGACTTATCACGTGATGAGAAATGTACCAGACGTCTTTGCCATCGTCAATCCCCTCAGAGCTGAGTTTAGCCACATAACTAGCTTGCTCTAACTTTAAGATCTGATCTCTGTATGAATGGCTTTGTCAGGATCTGTGGCTAATCGGACACACAAAAGACCTGCGCTTCAAGGCATTTTCTCAAAGTGGACCTTTTCCGATGTTAGTTCATTACCTTTGGACTATAATGTCAGAGGGCTACCGGCTGTGTCCTAGTCTCACCAGCAGGGGGCAGCCTCACGCTGTCTCGCGCTGCACGATAGTTTGCTATTTCTCGCGACACTTCTCCGCCCTCTGTGGTTCTTGTTCCTTGACGCGGTGGTGACATTGGATTCATTTTCCGGACCGTTGCTCTGGCTGTCGTGTTGCCGAACCAAGCGGATCATTAATGATATCGAAAGGGAGAGTCCACGGTAAAGGTTCCAGGTGAGTGCGGCGACACGCGGAGCTCGGAGCGGCTCCCCGAGGAGCTGTTAGCCGTTAGCTCCTCGGTGATCCTTTAAAACACGCTGTTAGCGTCTCAGCCCGAGAGAAGCTGGTTGATTGTGTGACTCTGAGTAAACTGTGTTGTTGCCGCGGTTCGGTATAATTTCTGTCGAAGGTTAAAGGCGCCACAGACGTTAGCCGCGTTAGCCGGAACACTGTGACCTCGTTCCGAAATGTTAAAAATAAACTCGGAGGGGTCAGAGGTCATCCTTTTTAATTGAATGTGTTAAAATGATTCTGCTACACTGATAGCTGTTGGGTTTGTAGCAGTTTTAACGCGCTGTATTTGTTGTTGTGAGCCTTTAAACCAGACTAGCTTTAAAAAACATGCATTTTTATCTCCTGCTGCTCCGTTCGCTTGTTTTACTTTGTATGAAATTTTCGTTTTTACATATTATGTATTTCTGGGATCCACTCCGTAATTCGGCTTAACCCAAACACGCTGATGCCTATCAGTTGTGACAAAACGTCGTCCTAAAGTCACCCTGGAAGTACTTAATTTAAACCAAAGAAGGTGCAACAGAGAGTGTGTGCGGCTGTTGTGTCAGCTGTGCAGATCATTGCGCGGCACACAATATTCTGCGGACTTTGGCTGCGCTGTGTCACGCTGCCGGTGGTTAATATGTCACGGATATCAGCTGTACTCAGCGACCCCATCGTCGCTTTATCTCGGCCTTTGGACTGTGTTCAGCGGATCCGCCTCGGTGCCCCCGGCAGGCCCCTCCCTGCTCTGGACCCGGAGCGGGGGCCCCTCGCCAGCCCCGCCCTCGGCTAGTGGTTACCCAGTGGTAAGACTGGGTTCTCTCTAAACCACGCCCCTGCTCTGTGGCTTAACGCGTACGTGCCGGCCGGCAGGCAGTAATGGAGGGCTGTGGCTCCTCCTCCCGTGAGCTGTGGAGGAAAACACCAGAAACGCCGGCTCTGAGCGAGACTGCCTGCGGCTGAAACGGAGCTTTACCCCTGCAGTTTTACCGATACTGAGTCATCATCAGGTAAAATCCCTCGGTTTACCGACTGTATTCCACTCTGTATGAGGCGGTGGTTATAAAACAGGAACCGGAAGAGACGGACGTGTGCTGCATTCGTAATTGACGGAGAAATTGTGTATTTTCTTATGAGTTGGTTCCTCGAGCCGCCCTTTAACTGCGTGTCAGTTTCGTTTATGTGACAGGCGACGAAGAAAAGCTTCCCATGTGGCTTCCCATTTTAGCTGTTTTTCTCATTT